GGATTTGTTTTTTTTTTACCACATCGATATCAGATACCGTCATCCATAATATTTCCCCCCTTTTTTTTTTTAAATGTTACGTATGTTTACATACATAAATACATACATACACACACTTATGTACATAATTTTATTATTGGATATGTTATCAGTGTACAATGTTATCATTCTAATATTTGCGTTGAAAATGATTTTTCTTTTTTTTTTTTTTTAAATAGAATTTTATTAATCTTACATATTTATCTACAAATATGTATACGTATTATTAATAATTATGTAAAAAATTGTTATTATTATTATTATTCTTAAATTTATGCACGAGCGCAAAAAAAAAAACGAAATAATAATAATAATAATTATTATATCGAGAATTGACGGGTTTACAAAAAAAAAAAAAACTTTTTTTATTTACATAAAAACTAATTAATTATCATTATTATTATTATTATTATAAATACAATAATATAATAGGCAATTATGTTATGCAATTAACTTAATTATAAAAAAACCTAACCGATTATTAGATTTTTAAAAAAAAACCCGAATTATTATTATTTTTACTAATTTTTTTTAGTTTCCCACCATTATTTTCTTTACACAAATTTTAAATATTATAACGGAAGAAGAAAAAAAAAATTATTTTTTCGCCAAATTATGTTAAAATTCCATTTTCAAAATCATTTCTTTACTTATTTATTTAACCTATGTACATAAATACGTTTAATTTATGCGTACGCAAGTGAAAATTATGCGTAATAAACGCAAATTTTTATCCAATTCTAAATTATTATTATTATAAACAAATAAAAAATAAATAAATAATAATATAAATTTTATTAATAAACTTATTCGTGTGTTTACAACAATAATAATAATAATAATAGTTTACGGGTTAGAAAATCGATCGATCGATCAATCAATCAATCATTTTCAACGCATTTTTTTTAATAAAATTGTAAAAAAAGAAAAAAAACGTAAGCCAACCCTCGTAAGTCAATTTATCCGTAATCACGTTAATTAAAAAATTTATTAATTATTAATTTAACATCGAACACAATTTTTAATAAATTATTGATGACGTCATAAAAAACACGCTCGTTGTTCTTACATCTTAAATAAACTTATTGATTTCGATAAAAATTGAATTTTTACACAAACGCCCTTATGCATAAAATAAATATTTATTTATTTATTTATTTTCGCATTTGCGTGCGTGCGTGAGTGAGTGCGTAAATTTTGCGTGATAAATTCAAGTAAAAAGTTTTTTTTTCCTTTTCCTATTAATTAATCCAGATTTGTTATCAATGTGTAATTTAAAAAAAAAAATATTTTACACCGATAATTATTTCCTTTCTTTCTTTCTTTTTTTTTTTTTTTTTTTACCCTCCCCACACTGGATAAACATCAAATTTATGCCTTACTTTTAAAAAATAAATAAAATAATAATAATAATAATAATAATAATAATAACAAAATGAAAAAACAATAACGAAATGTATCGAAGCAAAAAAAAAAAGAAAAAAAAAATGGAGTCGATGTGAAATTTTATGCTTTTTTTTTTTAAATAAACAAAACGATAATATTAATAAAAATAATAAATAAATGCGTAATAAATAAATAAATAAATAATCGAAATTTTCTCGGATGTAAAAAAGAAAAAAAATCTGGATTAATAATATATTTTCCTCTCTCTCTATCTCTCTCTTTCTATTACTGACTAGTTATATTCAATTCGATAGACTTAAATGTTAAAATTAATTATTTACATATTTTTTTCCTCTGAAGTAGCAAACCGAATGAGTTTTTTTTTTCTCTCTCTCCTTCTATCTCTCTACTTTTCTCCTTGTCCAACGATCGGGAAAAAAAAAAAAATAATGACACTGATAATAATAATAATAAATGAACGTTTTAACCGAAAAACCGTTTGAAATAATGACTAGGAAATCAATTAAATACGAAATTATAATTTTAAAAAAAAATGCCGGTGACGTCAACATCGTCGACGCCGGAATTATTATTATTATTATTATTATAACTATTATTCTTGTAGTTTATTAATAATAATAATAACAATAATAATGTTACATAAATGTGAGTTTTTTTTTTCGTGTTGAAAAAAAAAGTGTGGCAAATAATTGAAAACGGTTTCCGTAGTGAATTCAGTTTGTTTTTATATAAGGGGAACGGGGGGGTGGAGGATTCCCCGTCTCCCCTTTTAATTTCTATTTTTCCGAAGAAGAAAAAAATTATTTGTTTTACCCACACCGTTCCCTGGTTTTGTTTTGTTTGTTAGCATACGGAAAAACGACATTAAATTTTTTTTGTTTCGTTCAATCATTTGAATAATTTTACACCAATGATAACAATAATAACAATAACAATAATAATAATAACAATAACGATTATTATCATTATTATTCAATTATTTATTTTTGTTTGATTTCGAGAAGCGATAATAAAATAATACTCATTCAAACAGGAGGTTCCTCTTCGGTTTCAGACGCTTCCGATTGGGCTTCTAACACCTCCATATCCCCCGATAACGCATCAACGAATACCTGGAAAAATTTGTTTCCGTCATTTTCTTCGTCTTTTTTTTTTCTTCCTTCATTTAATTTTCCGTTTAAAAAGGAAACGAGTCAATATGTCGATATTTATACATAATAATATCCGTTTTTTTAAAAAATGATTTTAAAAACGATAAAACAATAACGACCGGAAACAAAAAATCTAGGAGGATATATATTTCATTCAAACATTTTTTTTTATTTTCATAAGCCTCCTCTCCCCACCCCTATTACGCTTCCCCCCCTCACTTCTTCTCTTAACCCTGGTTAAGTGTGAGCGTGTAAGTGTGCGAATGTGTGACTTACCTCCAAATTTTCAGGATTTGAATCTTGGGTATCGTGATTGTATCGTGTTATATTTCCCTCATCCTCGTTGTCATTATCATTAGAATCGGTAACTGGTTCTCGTGCAATTTCACCTAAGATGCGTGAAGGTAGCGGTTAGTAATTACAAAAAAAAAAAAAAAAAGAAGGAAAAAAAATCAGCTTTTTAAAAAAATTTTTTTGCTTTTCTTATTTGCCGGCCGCTGACGGCAAAACAAAACAAAACAGAAAAAAAAAATTAATGCAGCAAATGCGGTGATGATGACGGTGTCAAAAAAAAAAAAGCTTTGAAATTCTAAATTTTCGTGTCGTTTTTTTTTTTTAAAGCGGCGTGTGTGAAAAAAGCCAATTAAAAAATTAAAACGAAAAAAAAAAAAAAAAAATTATGGTAAAACATTCAAAATAAATAAATAAATTCATAAACCTTAAAAGTCATAACGAAAATTAGAACAGAAGAAAAAAAAAATGTTTGGGAATTTTTTAAATTTAAAATTTTTGTCTTTTGTTTTTACCAAATTCATCTCCTCCTCCTCCCTCTTCGTTCGATCTGGAATGCGATGGACTCTTTTGGGAATCTCTGTGAGTTTCGTGAAGGACGTGAATTTGTTCTCTGCACTTTTGTAATTCTTTTCGCAACATTTCCCGTTCTTCATCTCTCTCTTTAACAATTTTCTACATTATCCGTTTAAAAACAAAAAAAATGATTGATTGATTGATTTTTAACGATCGGAAATTACATTTAAATTTATGACTCACCAAAAGTTGCGTTAATTGATAATTTAATGAATTTGATATCCCTTGTAACTTTTGGGCAGGTACACCAGGCAGTCTTGTCTTTCGTCGACCCCCTCTTGTAGAGTATCCGGGCATTACTTCAGACGTATAGGTAACTGCTTCCTCATCTGTTACTTTAAGTGCTTCGTTAACTGCGGCAGCCAATTCGTTAGCTAAATTCGACAAAAAATAAATTATTAACCTTCATAGATATATAAATGGTTAATTTAAATATTCAAAAATTATATTAATCAACCTTGATTAACTGCAGCTAAAACCAATTCGGCTGCTTCTCTATCAACGGAAGGTTCGCCAGCCATTTCGGCAATCGTTTGAAATTCTTCTTTTGGAACGTGAAGAATGTCGGCAACAAGTTGCTGTTTGGCCAGTAACGCCTTTCTGATTTCTTCATCTTTAACCCTTATTTGTTCTTTAAAAGCAAAAGAAACAAAAAAAAACATTCATTCGCCATTTCCCATTAAAAATTTTATAATTTACAAAAAAAAAAAACGAATAAAAGTACCTAAAGGAGTCAGAACAGGTTCGGCTGTTAAAACTGGCTTAAGTGAAACAACAACTTCCGATGGCTGAACCAAAGAATTCGTAACCGTGCTTAATCTAACCTGTTCCACTTTCCTCCTCTGAGATGGAGATGAATCAACTTCGGGGGGGAAAAAAAAAATCATCATTCAAATCGTACGAAAACAAAGGTAATTATAATAATAATAGCAACAGCAGACGATAATAATTTTTTTTTTTACCAGATTTTCTTCCGTGTTCGGAAGTTTCTGGAGATATGGCTGAGGGTGAAGGGTGAGAAGTTGACAATGTAGACTGTTGTTTATGAGTGCTATCGTTGCTTTGATTAGAATCTCCTCCTTCCTGACTTGTACCTGACGTATCCAAATCGTTACCATCTTTGATTCTGTCGCTGTCGTGACTGTCATCAGGCCTTTTGTAAAAAAAATTTCAATTTTAACTAAGTAAAAATTTCTACCCTGATTACGCGTTTTTTTAAAATTTAATTACGTAGAGGTTTTTCGCGGGAAAAAGTTTTCATATTTTTTTTTTTTTAACCATAAAACAATATTTTAATTAAAACTTTTGCGAAATTTTTGACAAACAAAAACAAAAAAAATCAACAAACAAACGCTAATCAACACAGTTCACATCCTTTTACGTAAAGGAGGAAAAAAAAAAAAAAAACAAGGACGGAAGAGGAAAAAAATGAGAAGGAAAACCGCATTTACGGAAGGTCCCATAGAGAGGATTTAACAGTTTCCAAAAGAGTTTGTTAGTTTTGACAAATACCCTTCTCTCTCTCTCTCTCATCTACGTCGACGATTTTATTTTTCAACGAAAAATTATTTAAAATAATTTTCACGAATCCCTGCCATAAATTTTTGTTTTTTTTTTTCTGAAAATTTTTTCTATAAAAAAAAAAACAGAAAAAACGCCGATTCGGACGAACTGTTCCCATCGATTGTTTAATAATAAATAAATTCTAAACTCTATGTATGTTGTTGTCGTACTACTAAAAAAACATTTTAGCCAACAGTTAGTTAAAATGTTAACAAATCAAAATAAACCCGTGAGAGTATCGTAATTAAATTTGAATTCTGATTATAATTTAAATCGGGGAGGCAAACAAACACAAACCCACGCACGCAAACACGCACGAACGCACGCACGCACGCAAAAAAAAATTACTAATTTCCTTATTTAAAAAAAAAAAGCCAAGGTACAAGGAAAAGAAAATTTTTTTTATAACGGTTTACGAACTCTAAAGCTTTTCTTTTTTTCTTTCTTGTTTTAATAACTTAAAACTTAAATTAAAAAAAAAAAAAAAACAAAATTTCTTTCCCCTTCCCCTCCCCTCCCTTTATTTTTCTTTACTCATAAATTTCCCTTTTAAAATTTAAAAACCTCTGTTAATTAATAATAATAATAATTATAAGCCTATCAAAAAGCAGATAAAATTTATTCGGAAGAGAGGGAGGGGGCTTTTTTTTCTAGAATAAAAAAAAATAATTTTTGTTTTTAAGGGGAGGAGGGGGTGTGTGCGCGCTTTCGTTTCATGACAAACCGCATTAGTAGGATAATTCGGCGGCGATATGGGGAGACCATTTGCGTAATTACCGGAAGTGAAGGAAAGGAAAAAAAAACTGTAAGATGAAACTTACTCTTTGGTTTTTTCCGGCGATTCGTATGCAGCAGATTCTGTATCGGGTGGCGATTGCGGTAATGGCGCCGACGGATCGACTACTCTACGATTCCTACCAAAACTGTCTTTGTGTTTATATGCGTCCGCCGCTTCTGAAATATGTCTGAACCATCTGAAGAAAAAAAAAAAAAAAAAATTTTTAAATATGTGATACGATTCGGATCCAAATATGTAACCTTTCGGCGGGGAGGGGAGGGGAGGGGGATAAAAGAAAATGAGAAAACATAAATTTCGATTCCATTAGCTTAATAGAATACTACGAGCACTACTACCACCACCACCACACGAAGAATGTGGGCCAAAAAAAAAAAAAAAAGGAAAAAAAAAGGGTCGCTCTAACTCGCTGGAAAAAAAAAAAATTTTTCATTAGCTTTTCTTTATTTTATTTAAACAAAAATCCCCGATCCCGTCGAATGATTTTCAAAAAAAAAAAAAAGTCAAAAAAAAAAAAAAATCATGGCCTCTGGAAACGTTGTAACAAATGAAGCATAACCGATGAGCTGGCACTGGAGAATTATTATTACAAAAAAATTTCCAACAGCGTTCAAATATCCATCCATCCATTTTTTTTTCCCTTTTTTTCCACCTAAATCCGTTTTCGAAGAAAATAAATTGAGTTCGTTACTTTACTTCTTCTTCTTCTTTTTCTCTTTTCTTTTCTTTTCTTTTTTTTTTTTTTTTTAAATTCATTCTTTTTAAAAATTTACGTTCTGGAATTAATAAAAAATAGGAAAAAAAGAAAAGAAAAGGAAAAAAAATCTTCTCATAAAAATTTCAACTTCAAAACTTAAATCCAATAAAAATTTTTTTAAAAAAAAAAAAGGCTTAAAGGTTAAAAATATTGTTTTGCTATTCAGTTCTTTTCTTTTCATTCTCATTTTTTCTCTCTTTCTCTCTCACTCTCTCAATTTTCCATTTTCCATTCCATCAAAAAATAAATAAACAATAAAAAATAATATAATACACATCGCAACAAAAATTACATTTTTCCATTTTAATTTCGTTTCAAATAAAAAAATTTTTTTTTTAATCTTTTACAAACATATTTATATATTTGTTTTTTTTTGTTTCGTCTGCACTTGAAAAAAAAAATTAAAAAATTAAAACAACAACAAACAACAAATAACAACAAAAAAATTTTTTTTTATACTTTTCCAATTTATTTGGTCAAAAGTTTTCATTTATTATTATAAATTTTATTCATAAAAAATTTTCATTTTTTTATTATTATTGTTATTACTTTTTTTTGCCTCTCCCTCCTTCCACCCCGTCCCTCCTCCTCCTCCACAATTTTCCCTATTCGTTTCCGATACTTTCAATAATTAAAAGCAAAAAAGAAGAAGAAAAAGAGTAATAATAATAATGCGAGGAGATTTCAAATCAAAAGGAAACCCGATACACGTTCTTTTTTTTTTTTATTCAAACAATGAAAAAATGTCGTAAGTAAAAATAGAAAAAGAAAGGAAAAAAGGAAAAAAAGGAAAAAAGGTTTTTGCATCAATACATATAGTTCTATCCATACACGTTCCAGAAACAGCATCCGACCAATGGAAAACTATAAACCATCAATGACGTCATGTTTTATCATTAAACAAACTTTTCAACCGCTCACGCTTTAAATTGCACGTATCATACAACACAATTGTCAAGTTTTTAAAATGAGTTTTTTTTTTTTCATGAAAGAGACCCAGGAAAAATCATCATTATTATTTTTTTTTTTTTTTAAAGAAAAATAATGATAATTTTTCCTAGGCTCTCAAAACCTAAAAAAAACCTAAGGGGAAAAAAAAATTCGTTAACGAAAAATTTGAATATAAAAATTAATCGACGAAAAGACGAGTACGAAATAAAAAAGGGGGATGAGGGGGAACCCGAGAGGAGGGGGGAGGGGAAGCGTACGCGAACGAGAAAAAAAATACAAAATTTTACATTTGTATAAAAAAAAAATCCTGTGGAGTATAAATTATAAAATAAATAAATAAAATAAAATAAGGAAAATGTAACTTCGTTCGTCGAAAATCAAATCGTCATATTTTTTAAATTACGAATGAAAATAAAATAAAATTCTCCAGAATTCTTTTGAAAAAGAGTAAAAAGAACAGAGAAAAAAGAGAAAGAGAGAGAGAGAGAGTGTGAGTGTGAGTGAGAGAGAAAAACCAAAAATTTAAAAACATTATCACAATTTAAAATGATATAAATTTTATCGTAACAAAAAAAAAAAAAAGAAAAACCTGCTCGATTTTCATTCGAAAGTTTTTCTTTTCTTTCCCCCCCCTCCCAATAAAAAATTTAGAATAAATCGAATGTGCGAAGAGGCGAGACAAAAAGAAAAAAGAAAAGAAAAAATTAAACCAAGATTCGAAGCACGATTCGAAGAAAGGTTTTTTTTTTTTTAAAAAAAAATATTATTTTCCCATCATTTTCCGCGAAATAAAAAAAAAAAAGGAAAAAAAGGAAAAATTAATCGCTTCTATCCTTTTTTTTCGAAAGGTTTTTTTACCTTTCATATCAAAAAAAAAAGAAAAACAGAAACCACAAAAAAAAAAAATTTCTAAACGAAAAAAAAAAAAAGAAAATTCTTTTCCGAACGGCCTTCCACGACCTTCTTCTCCCTCGATCGATCGTTTTAAACCTGAAAATCACGATTGGTCATAATGGCGCGTAAAAATTATAATCACAATCATCATCATCATTATTACTTTATCAAAAAAAAATTAATAATAATAATAATTATTTGTTTGTTTTTTTTCTTTTTATTGACACGAAATTTTTTTAATAACAATAATCATGAATGGGTAATCATTTTATTTTATTCATCAATGATGTAAACAAAAATTTAAAAAGAAACAGGAAATACACCCACACGCAACTGGCGGGGGAGGGGAGTGGAGGCGGAACAACAAAAAAGTTAGTATGATTTGACCAAAAGTATTATTATTATTACAACTAAAGTTTTATGTTGTTAGTCAAGTGAAACTAAATTTGTTGACCGCGTTTTAAAATTTCCCCGGTCAAAACTTTAAGCGATAAACCTGATTTGTGAATGAAAACTCTCAACTTGAAATATATTTTAGATTTCCTCAAAGATTTTCTTTATTTTCCTTACTTTCATCTCCTACTCATCTAACTCCGAGCGGAATTAAGGGAAAAACAAAGAGAAAAATATTCGAGAGTTTCAAATGAAACTTCATTTGAAATTTGTAATGTTTGCCGCCTTTGTCTCTGTCGGAGGAGGGGGGGTGAGAGGGAGGAAGGGAGGGGAAATAAGAAGACGAAAAAATTACAAAGATGTAAAATAAAAAAACAAAGATAAAGGGAGGAGGGAAGGGGGAATCAAAACGAATTTTTTTCGGTAAATTAATTTTTGAATATTTGCCGGGCGCGGCAAAAAAAAAAAAAACAATGAAAAGTTTGTTCGGTGGAAATTATTGAGACACCATTTTTCAAAATGGCGCGACATTTATAACATTCGTTCGTTTGGTTTTTTTTTTTTTAAAATTTTTTTATACATCAGAAAACATGTAGGAGGGGAAATAAAAATTAGATTAAATTTCCTTCCCCACTTCTTTTCTTTTCATTTTTTTTGTCTCTGCAAATTCCATTCCTGACTTTCGTTCTCACTTTTTGAAAATTCCCGCCAGTTTTTTCGATGAATTTTTTTTTTTTTTTTTTTGACATTTCTTGTCATTAAATTTTCGCAATTTAAATTGACGCCGAACAGACGTCAATTTTCGACTCTGTCATCACTTCGTCTCACTTTCTTTCTCCCTTTTCTCTCTCTCTCACTCTTTCACACGACAACCCCCCCCCCCCCCGCCTTCTTGCCCATCTTTAAAATGATTTTAAATCGTACCTTTGAACTATGCTTCCTCTCCTTTCTTTAACGTCGGGACTTCCACCGCTCACACTTCCACGCCTTTCGCTTTTCGACAATTTCTCGACATTACCCTGACCTTTATCCGACTGTCCGAATTGAACGGGTGATTTTTCCTTATAACCGCCGAAAACGCCCGCTGCGACCGAACTTCTCCTTTCGGATTTTTCACTTCTGTTCACGGGGGATTTATCGAGAGAAAGGGATTTCCTTCGCAACATGATGATTCCGTTGCGTTCAAAAATCGAAGAATCTTGTGTCGATGTTGTTGTTTTCATTTGCGACTGTTCGAAATACTTTTCTATTTTTTTTCTTTCTTTTTCTATACGTAATCCTCTTTTTTTCTTTCTTATTCAAACCATTAATTTCGATCGTGTCGAAGAAGTTATAAAACCTGTTGCACGCGCACTCTCGATGAAACCCGAACGTAATACGACGGCGGCATTTAAGAAAAATTTCCGAAAGTGTGCGAGTGTGTGTGCGAATGTGCGTGTGTGCGTATGTGTGCGCGCGAACGTTCAATTCTCGAACATGATTCACAACTTAAAATGGATTATTTTATATTTATACGTGTGCCATTTTCGACAAAAAAATTTTTTTTTTTTTTTTTTTAAATTTCCTGAAAATCACTTAAAACCCTGACGAAATTTATCGATCGTTATGTTAAGTAACAACGTATAACGTCATTCACATTTTTTTAATATTTTTTATTCGTTCCGAAAATCGATATTCGAACCTTAAAAGAAATCAATCATTTTTTTAAATAATATAAATTAGTCAAAAAAAAAAAAATTCGCATTCCGATTCGATATTGCACCAAAAAAAAAAAAAAAAAAAATTAAAATCTCCATTTTAAACAAACAAAACAAAACAAAACAAACAGACACGTGACCTTAAATTCCGTCTTTAAAAAACAAAAAACCTTAAAACAATAAATTTAAAAAAAAAAAAAATTCCTTATTGTAATACCGAATAATAATCTCCCAGATTTTCCCGAAAGCCAAAAAAAATTTTTTTTTTACCGTAATATTAAATTCATATAGTTGTATACACACGCGCACGCACGCACGCACACACACTCTGCTCTCGACAACAATAAAATAATAATATTCTTCTCTCTCTGTCTCTCTTTCTCAAAAAAGAAAATTTTTTTTAACTTTTACTATAAATAAATAAAAATAACATTAAAAAATAAATAAAAATTTTTTTTTCTTCTGCTTCTTTCCGACAGACGGTTTAAGACCTACTGACCTACGATTGAACGAAAACGAACCATTTCACTAAACTTTTTATTTTACTAAACTGATAGATTTATGACGCATTAACTATTTAATTTTTTCTTTTTTTTTTTAAAGTTTAAAATAATAATAATAATAATAAAGAAAAAATTTACGGCGCATAAAGTTAAATTTTAAAAAAAAAAAGACTGATCGTAATGATGATGACGACTTTAATAATAATAATAATAATAATAATAATAATATTTAAAAATGATAATAATGCAACGATAATCAAATCGTTTCGAGTAAACAACAAAATCACTTTTTAAAAAAACCTAATTTTTTTTTTTTCCTCGTCCTTCTCACCCCGTCTTTTAGGAACGCACACACACACCCAGATTCACATAAACCGAAAAAAGAGAGAGAAAGAGAGAGAAAAACACAACATTAAAAAAAAAACATAGAAATATCTTTTCGGTGCTTGCCAATCGTTTTAAAAACTAAAAAAAAAAAAAAAAAAAAAAAAAATTCCCGGCTGTCGTCGACTACTTCTTCTACTACTTCTACTACTACTACAACAAACGACTTTTGACAATATGACCAATGGCAAAAAAAAAAAAAAAATAAATAATTCACGTTCTTCACGTCAAACTCACGATCAAATTAATAAAAAAAAAAAAGAGAAAGAGAAAGAAAGATAAAAGAATTCGTGACCGAAAACTCAATAAAATCCGACAAAATCACGATCGTCGCCGTTTTACTTTTTTTTTATTTTTTTGTTTTTTCCATTTTTAAAAAAAAATTTCTTGTGTGAGAGAGTATCCTTCCTTCGACGTGCGTTAATTTCTTCTTTTTTTTTGCGAAAAAACCTTCAGTGAAACGATAAGACCGCGTTTGTATTCACGTTGAAAGAGAGAGAAACGATGAAGAGTCTCGTTTTCCCCCCCATCTCACCCTTTCCTTTCCCCCCCCGAAGCATATGAAAGAATGAAACCGAATGAAATGTATAGACTGAGGAGGAGGTTTTGTTGCCCGGGTAACCGAATCGGCAGATTTTAACGAAACCCTGAACTACGGGAAAACTGGAGAGAGAGAAAAAAAAAAACTCCGGCAAAAAAAATAAATAAATAATCGGCGTTAATTTTTTTTTAATGTTTACGAGCACGCCCCCCCCGTAAACACTGATAATAATAATAAATATAATAATTATAACAATAATAATAATAATCAAAGTTTCATTCGACCGCAAAATGGAGAGAGAGAGAGAGAAAAAAAAAAAACCTTCTCGACAAAATTTTAGCATATGGAAAACGTCAAAAATAAAAAATAAAAAGGAGGGGGAACGAGAGGGAGGGAGGGAGGGGGAATTTTATAAAATCTCGTTGCAAAATTTGAAATTTTAAAATTTAAAAAAAAAAGCAAAAAAAAAAAAAAAAAAAAAGATGGAGTTTGAAATTTTTTTTTTTGAATTTGACACGCCCAATATCAAACATGTGATTTCCCTTCCCTCCCATTCTCCCCCATAAAAAATAAAATAAGAAATAAAAAATTTTTTTTTTTAATTTATAAAAATCGATTAATTTTTTTTTTTTTCGCAGTACGATTTCCTTCCTTTCTCCGACTACTCTTCCTTCCCCCCCCATTTTTGTTTCCGTGTTTATTTTGTCACCGTTTTTCAATGCCGGTTCGGTCCTTTTTAAAAATATTTTTAGATTCCGACGTTCGAAAAGCACGTTTAAAGCATAAACAAAAAAAAAAAAAACAAAAAAACGATATGATAAAAATAATATGATAATAATACAAAAAAAAAAAAAAAACTGGCGCGTGAAATCGCGTGTCGTGCAGCAAATGAGGGGGGCAGGGGTTTCCCGTTCAAAAGAAAAAAAAAATAACCATCGGAAATTGAAAAAGATGGAAAAACGTGGGTTATGAATTTGTCAAAGTCTTTGAAAACGATTCGCAGGACCTCGTCGTCACATACCGTTTGAAAAAATCATTATGATGACAATAATAATAATAATAATAATAATAATAATAATAATAATAATAATAATAATAATTTTTTTTACGCGAGCGTAACATTATCATTATCAAAACGCTTTCCGAAATTTACCGAAATTTCCATGTTCTTTACAAATAAAACGATAACAATTTATAATAAAATGGTTCAACTTTCGAATCGAGATTATATTCGATTAGAGAAATGAGAGATTCGACATCGGGGGGACGGGGGAGGAGAGAAATTAATAATTCAAATTTTACGATCACCTTTTTTTTTATGCCTCACGTATCTCACTTAAATTTTCAAAAATGAAAATAAGAACCGGAAGGGAAAAAGATAGATATATAGATATAAATATACAATTTATAAGCAATAAATAAGATTTTCTTTTTTTTTTTTTACAGGAAAAGCGCCGCGTTTTCCTCGCCCGTTTTCATTTAATTTTGCAATAATAAAAATAAAAATAATAAAAATAAAAAAATTTTTTTTTGACGAAAACAAAAATGACGTAAAAATCCCGCCTCCCTCCCTTTCTCCCCCCAAAAAAAAATAACGCCTTGAAAATTTTTCTTTTATTGAACTACCGGAAAACTTTAAGTCTACGCAAACACAATTTTCTTTTTTTTCCCGATTCCTTTTTTTTTTTTGCCCGTAACTTTTCCAAAGTTTATTTAAAATACTTCTCACGCTATAAGAGAGAGAGAGAGAGAGAGAGAGAGAAAAAGAAAAAAATAAGAAAAAAAAGAAAACTTTTCCAAACAAATTTAACAAGCAATACACTTTCCCAAACGAAATAATTAGACTACACAAAAAAAAAAAAAATTTCTATCTGGTTTTATTGAAACGACCGTAATTAATTTTTTTTTTTTTTTTTTGCCAACTTTTATCAACCCAATTTTTACCGGAAGTTTATTGTTGTAATATAACAACCGCCGCCTCCACCCCCACCATTTTAATTATATTTCAAACATCATCATCATCATCATCAAATTTTAATTTATATAATTAATTTGCGTGACGTAAGCAAGACAAAAAAAAACGAACAAAATTTATATAAACCTATAAGAAGATCGTACCCGCGCACTCACAAATCCTCTCTTAATAAACCCTTAATAAAGCGAATTCAAAGAAATGAAAATCGTTTCCATCGACTCCTCAAAAATTAAGAGAAGATATATTTGATGAGAATTTTCATTTTTCCACGTAATTTAAATTCGGGGAAAAAGAAAAAAAAATTTTCTTTCAACACAAGAAAGCTACCGATACCGAACGAACCGCAAATTTTAAACTTACGTAAAGTATTTTTTTCTTCTCTTACTTCTCCCCTCCCCCCAATCGATAAAATTAAAGAAATCCGTTGATTGAAATCGCGCGTAAATTTTCAACCGGATGTACGTATATAATTTTTTTTTTTTTAAATAAAAAAATTTTTATTTTGAAAAATGATTGGAAAAAAAAAAAAAAAAACAAAAAGAAAAAATTATTTTTGAATGATGACGTCATTTGAATATTTTCTTTTCTCCCAACTCTACTCTTTTTTTTTCTTCTTCTTCTTCTAACAATTAATATTATTTTAAAATTTTTTTTAATAAATAAATAATTGATTGATTAAAATCATTTTTTTATAAATAAATATTATTATTATTGTTAAATGACAGGCAATTATTATTATTATTAGAGATTAAAAAGTTTTCTACGATTCTCGCGCTCGATGAGGCAAATATGTCACTCAAAGTGTGACCCCCAGAAACGTTTGCCAAAAAAAAAAAAAAAAAAAAAAAAGAAATAAAACAAATAAAAAATGTTTAAAAAGTCGTTCGTCAACCACTCATCATTCCTCCTCCCATCTCTCTCCGCATTCGAAATTCCCCCCCCCCAATATCCTATCGGCTTTCTTTTACCAATATTTACCCGATAAGAGAAGTAAAAAAAAAAAAAGAAAAAATCAATTTACGAATTTGATGCTTCTTGCGTAAGGTAATTTTTTTGTTGTTGCTTCTAGTGTTATTTTCAAAGCGGAAAAAAAACAACAAACAACAAACACAAACAGACCGATTGATCTCGTGTAAAATATTTAACTAATGCATATTTAAATCGTTGCCCAACAAATACAAAAAAGTCTCTTCGGGCGTTTCGACAGGCCGACATGAACAAAAAAAAATATTTTTCGTCGTCATAACCGATTCTTGATCGGTGCACGCACTCAAATGACTACGCCATGCAATAATCATGGCTACCCTAACAATTTTTTCAATGATCCGAATGGGAATCGCGAATGAAGGATCTCCATTAACAAAATGAACTTTTAAAAATTGAAAACAATCGGTTTTGTGGGAACTCCTAAACTACAGCAGCACCTGCCCTGCCCTGCCCTACCCCCTTCGACGAAATTTAACACAAAAGCTTTCTATCAAATGAACGAGTACTACGAAAATTTATAAATTGAGTTTTATATATCGATTATTAAGGTCGAATAAAGTTATGAAATTCATGTAATAAAAGAAAAAAAAAATTAAAAAAAAAAATTCTAAAGGATGCTGTCACAAATTTAAATCATTTGACGGAAACCGTGTCTTTAAAAAAAAAAATTTAAATTGATTTACATTTTCTTTTAAAAAAAAAAAATATAAAAAAAAATTCGCGGTTAAGATTATCGTCACGTCATTATTAAAAAATTTTAAAAAAAAAAATTTACAAACAGAAAATATTAAATCGACGCGTTTTTTTTTTTTTTTTTTTTTTTTTAAAGAAAAAATTTACGCGGTATTCACAACGAATGTTATCGCGAATAATTTTTTTCGTTATTTTTATTAAACTCAAACTTAATCACTGAACCGTCTGCCACGATTACAACTCATACAAGAACTCGATCGGTTATTTGCAATAACAGAAAACAAAATAAATAAGTAAATAAATTCTTAAACGGCACAAAAAACACTTCGAGTCACAACCGATTTCCGATAGCGTATACAAAAATTTTTGGCCTTGAATATTAAAATGATTTTCGATCTTAAACACTGACAAGAAACACATAAATACAAAACTAACGCCCGAAACCATTTGAAATTTATCATAAAATAAAAGTCTCAGGTCGATCGGCAAAATTTTCTGATTAATTTTTATCATTAAAATACACACCAAGAATCAAAAAAAAAAAAAAAAAAAATGTTCGTGCGTGTGCGTGCGTGCGTAATAATAATAAAAAAAAATGAGAAAGCAAATTAAAACAAAGGAAACAAACGTAAGTAGCTAAACACTCTCTTTTCGATAAAATAAAGAAACAACGTAGAATATAAAATAAAAATAATGTAATCAACAACAACAACAACAACAAACAACAACGACGACAACGACGACGTGAACAACAATAATAAATTAATAATTTTTTTTTTTATTTAAATAGTTAACAATAGAAAACAAAAGGTTCAAACCAAACCTTGATATTATTTATAAAAAAAAAAAAAAACAACAACAATAATAATAATAATAACAATTAATCGATACAAATAACGCAAAAAAAAAAAATCACCGAGCGATTTCATTCAATCCCACACCACGTCGTCGTTCGACTAACACTTCAAAAAAAAAAAAAAAGAAATTATTTCGCAAATATTTCGCTAATAGCAATTTTACGCCGAAGGGAATCAAAACAATTAACAAACATATTTTTATGCCGTTAAACTATTCAGAGCCTATGAATTGGATAACAGGAAAAAAAAAAAAAAAAAAAAACCAATTGTCATAAAGGCTTGCGCTACGTTTTAAATTTAATAACCTAAAACCGCGTGGCAATTTAGACATTTCGAATCGAATGTTTCGACCACCTTTAATACTATGCACATATTTTTTTTTCAACTAACGACAAAAGGTTTAAAACAAAAATCGTGTCGAACCAGACGACATATTGTTATCAGAGCGCTTATGTGTTCGTTTTTCGAAACTGAAAATCGCAAACGTTTTTGCTTACAAATAAGTTGTCTGCATTTTCAAAACGATCTTTACCTCTCGTTGAGAATTTTCACTCAAAAGAAAAAAAGAGAAAAATGAATTATAAGACGTAGAATGAAAGAGAGAGAGAGAGAGAGAACTACAATACACACAATGAAAACCAGCTCGTCAACTTTAATAATAATAGCGACTCCAACAACAACAACAACAACGTCAACGACAACCACAACAAAAAAACGACACAAACAACAACAAACAAAAGGTACATTTTCTTACTTATGATACGAAGAAGCAATAAAAACCAATGAACTGTAAAAAAATTTTAAATTTACTACTACTCGATGTTATTATCGACAGGTAAAATGATTGACTTTGTTTTTATACTAATAGCAAGCAAAATATTTTCACACACACTTACACTTACACACACACACACACACACACACACACACACACACACACTTGAGTTTCGAAGCTATCAATTACATTAAAAATGATGCGGAAAAAAAAACACAGACGACGACAATATGACCGTATGCAATTTTTTTTTTTTTTTTTTTTTAATAAAATTACACGAATTCTTTAATGGAAAGTTTGATTTTTCATTTAATGACGACACATTTTCTCAAAAGTATTTATACTATAAGTATAAAAGAAAAACCTACAAAAATGACTTTATCAATAATAATTATTTACGATTATTTTATTGATAATTACAATCTGTCTAATAAATAGTATAAAAATTTATAATAATATTTTGATATTTATTATATTTGCCGAACGTAAAATATTTCAAGTTAAAAAATAATTAATGTCGAACAATTTTTTTCTTTTTCGTCTACTTATTTTCTTACTGTCATTGTTGACTTTCTTCTTTCACTACTTACTACAATTCGTCTTAATAATATATTTCTTTGTAAATAATTCTGCTCTATCCTCTATCCTTCCTACCATTTCAAGATGTCTTACTTTAAACATTTCATGCGAAAAAAAAAACTAACGATAAAAATCCACGTGTACGTATATAAGAAAATTTTCTCAAAAGAAAAATTTTTAAATTAAATTTTTTAAAATAAAATATTATAATACTACTATTATTATTATTATTATTATAAATATTTTTTAAAAAAATCGACGACGACGACAACGTTTATAATAATAATAATAATAATAATACTAATAATAATAATAATAAATAAAAAACGATGAAAAATGTCGGCAAACAAAAAAGAAAACATTGCTTCTCTGACATTCAATATCTTATAATGAATTTTTTAATAAGAAAATAAAAAAAGGGTTTTTCTCCCAAAAAAAAATAAATAAATAAATAAATAAGTGACGTGGCAGCAACATGTCTAATGATACGTGGATAAATATTGACTTTCACTAAGAAAGAAGGGGGAGGAGATTTTTTTTTTTTTGTCAAAAATTTATCCGCGCTTCATTTTTCTCTTTCCATTTCCCTTCATCGCTTTTCCCATTTTTTTTTCGGCGTGTTTTATTAAAAAAAGTAATAATGATAATAATAGTACAAGTACTAGTAATGAACGACAAAAGATAACCGTAATCAATTTAAAAATAACGATTTTTCAATCGGACAGCATTGATCGCATTTGTCCCTCGTGGCTAGAAGAATTCAGCAGTAAAATAATAAGAATTAAATTTCGAAATTATGTTTGCGTAATGGGAGACGTAAAGGAAAAATGCCAGCGGATGAAATACACGTCGAATAAACATTTGTAAAATCTATTTCATAAATAATTAATATCAAAAAAAAAAAAAATCGTAAAAAAAAAAAATTTTCAGACTCAACTAGATGGAAAATTACGACGCTCAATTTCAAACCGTCATCATGTCATTCGAATTATTTATGACGTGAAACAGAAAAAAAAATTAAATTAAATAATTAAACGAGTGTAAAGTGTGGGCAGAATATAAAAAGAGAGAGACGAAAAAACGAAAAATTAATAAAAAAAAAAAAAAAAGAGAAAATAGATTATGTATACGAAAAAATTGGGTCATTACACGTTAAAAAACAAATAAATACTTGTATTTAAATATTAAAAAATTAAAACAACAACAACCACGACGAAGACGACGAAAAAAAAATTTATTCGTTTTAATTTAAATGATGTGAGGAAAAAAACTTCATCATCATCATCATCATCGTTAAACGATTATAATACAAGATAATTTAAAAATGAGCTCGATGCAAAATCATATGGCAAACACACGATAATTTATTATTATTATTATTATTACACACGCTTTCAATCAACGTTTAAAAGAAAATTATTTAAATTTTCAACCCATTTCCAACAAACGAAAGACAAAACCCCGGCTCAAACATAACCAGCGAACTAATCCAAATTTTGGTAAAAATTTTGATTTATATTCGGTTTAAAATGTTCATTTGACACCATTTTAAATACTTATTGTAATGTTATCGTCGCGTTTTAAAAAATAGATAATCTATTAGTAGAAAACTTTCTCCCCTCCCCCCCTCAAAAAAAAAAAGAAAACCGCGTGTGAAAAATATTATAGTTTGAATTAAAAAATTTCAGTGAAAATAATTTAAAACTAATAAAATTTCTTTACCATAAGCGAAAGAATAAAAACAAAATAATAATAATTTTGATTTTCAAATATTGAAAACTAATGTGCGCGTGTGGGTGGGAGTACCCCATTTTTATATAGATATATATAAAAAATCAAACACGGATTTTTTTTTTCATCATCAATCTTTAAAACGAGGTACGAATAATAAAAAAAAAAAAAAAAAAAAAAAAAACAAATAGTATTGTACTGTTACTTACATTTTTCTTTCGTTGGGTGAAGAAGCCACGAGATCATAAATTTGTGCCAAATTATGAGATGTATTCACCAAATATAAGGCCGTTTTATCTATAGAAAAAAATAATTGACAGATTAGATTTATTTATTTTTAAAAAAAAAAAAAAAAAAACCTACGTTTCACTCGCATAACGGTAATACTAAATAATTTTTTTTTAAAATTAAAACATTTTCCTCTGTCACTCACCTACTGCATTATCTCTGACTAGTACGGATGATACCTTAACAATAGGACTGAGAGCGGGGGCTCCGCCAGAAGGAGTGTTTACATTGTAAAACTTGAGCACATACTTTTCATCTTGTTTCTGTAGTAATATAATAACATCGTGCAATAACAATACGTGAATGTCTATTAATTTTTGACGATTTCCAATCCGCCAATTCAATGACCCTTCGTAAATTAATTTGTGCGTTCGCAAATCCAAATTCTAAAAAGCAAAAAAAAAAAAAAATTTTCTTAAAATAAATTCACTATTTTTAGTATTCTTTGTGAGTTTTTTTCCTTTTTGCTTTTTTTTTGTTTTTGCTTTTTCTTTTTTGCTTTTTTGTTTTTGTAAAGTTAAAAATAATAACAATATAAAACGGGAAATCATTGACAAAAGCAAAAATAAAGTTACAAGGATTCCTTTTTATTCAAAAAGAGTCTTGAAAACTTTCTGAAAACTAAAAAAAAATTTTTTTTTTTTTTTTTTTGGAAAAATAAGCACACAATGGAAAAGAGAAAAATTGAGGAAATAACAAGTAGATAGGTTGGGAGGAAAGAGAGGAAAAAAAAAAAAGTTTAAGTGTTTAGTGACGTAAATTTGACAAATTATAAAAGCTTGAATTTCATTGTTTTTTTGAAATTGTTTCGGGGAAAGCGCTTCGTTTGAGATGACGTACTCAAAGATTTGAGGTGGAGGGAAGGGGGGAGGGGAAAAAAAAATATTATCGATCGTACCTTAAATTCGTTAGTCATTGGATGATCAACTTTTTCAAAAGCTGATTTGTCTAATCTTTTCTGAATTTCAGCGAGTCTTTGGTGATCTTCAACGGCGCGAACGGCTTGATTAACATAATTTAATATGTCCTTACTCCTTTCCACAGCCTGCTGGACGGATTTTTCTTCTTCAGAACCTTTCGGCGAATATTTTGCAAGGTTTTCGAACAAAAGAGGATATTTTGTTAACCTGAAAAAAAGTAAAATATTATTTATTTATTAAAAAACTTGAGTGTCGATTCCCGAGGTTAGATTTAATTTAGTTTTTATAAAAAAAATTTCTTTTTTTTTTAAAACTAAAATCGATTGTACCTTTGCATGACGGTTGGAAGCATGTCTTTCAATTGCAACCGCCTACACAAAGGATTTCCCTCAGCTTCCGTGAGAAAATTGCTGAGTTTCGTGTCTTTTCTTCGACGCTCTTTGAGTTGTTCTAAAGCAATTTGTTGATTTGCGCAAAATACTGAAGCAGCTCTTTGAAAATTATCACCAGCAGGTCCGTCAAACTGAAATTTAAAAAAAAAAAAAAAAAAACATCATTTTAAAATCTTTTACTAAAAAAAAATATCGCGTGCTCTTTTCGTTTCCCGTAATATTATTATTAATTACCATGGCTAATAAAATATCACTGATATCTCCCACCAGGGGATCCTCCTTTTTCTTAGCTTTCATCGCATTGTTAAACCTACTGTGGATGTCCAGCATCTCTTCAAGGTTTTGAAATAACAAATGCAATTGATCAGAAGGAAGAATTTGATTTTCTTGCATCGGTTTTAAAAATATTTGATCTAAAACTTTGAGTTTTCTAACGTGCGTTTTTTCCGTGTGAAAAAGCTCTGAAATAAATAATAATTTTTTTTTCAATCAATTTTCTTACATTCAAATAATGGAATCATGATAATTACAATATCCTTTCACAGACAGGAATACAAAAAATTATCCTAGATTACGAAAACATATCTTACCGTTTATAACTTCTTGCCTCTTCTTTTCCCTTGGTGTCAAAGATTTTAAAACATTTTCGTCGACTCTTCTAGTCCAATCAGGAGGATCGGGCTCCGCCTCTGTATCAGAATCTTCTAACAAAGGTGGAATATTGCTTGGCGTAAGAGTTACAGTCACGGATTCTTGGGCCCTTTGCTGTGTAGCCGTCACCATGTCTAAGGCAGCGCTTGGACTTTCTAGACTTCTGTAGTAAAAAAACACAAACACGCGATTTCGTTAAAGAACGTCTGTTCGTACTCAACCAACCAAACAATCGCTTAAAAAACATTTTTATGTAATTTTGAAAACCTAATGTCATTTTTTTACGATGACGTCAGATTAAGCTAACTAAAAAAAAAAAAAAAAATTTAAGCAAAATATCAAGAGGCAAAAAATACTAAGTAAGGAAATTTATAAATTTAAAAAAAAAAAAAAAAAAAAAAAAAAAAAAGACATTTTTGTAATTGACAGTATAACTGTGACGGAAACGAGAAAATTATTATTATTATTATTTCTCGAAGTATATAAAAAGAAAACCAAAATTTAAAAACAAAATTGAGAAAAAAGGGCAAACAAAATTAATTTTAACTTAAGGTTTTTTCTTTTTTTTTACATTAAAATCTTTAAAATTTGATTGGATAGAAATTTTAATTTTCCGCTTAAGATGATATTATTATTTAAAAGTGTCATGACAAATAAATTCTCTCTCTTTAAAAAAAAAAAAAAAAACAAACAAGTAAAAAAACACGAAACAAAAAAAAGAATAAACATTATTATTATTCAAACGATTTTAAATATAAAAAAAATACAATTAATAACAATTAATTGCGCAAGTTTTCAAGTTGGTTTTTGAAAAATAAATAAATAAATATTATTAATAATAATAATAATAATAATAATAATCAAAATTAAGGACAAAACGTGATGTTTGAAAAAAATTGCAACGTTTTGTAAACTAGTCGTATTCGTGTAAACTAAAGAAAATCATACGTTCGGCAAAGGCCTTTGAACTTATTAACGCCGCGAAAGTAAAAATTCCCCCTTAATTTAACAAAGCCTTGAATTAACAAACAAACATTAAAAAGAATAAAAACAAACACGAGCGTGTATGTTTGAGGTCTTAATTACCTGGCTGACAGGCTGGAATTCGAAGAGCTTCCCGAATTTGTGTTGTAGGAAAGACCCTGAGAGTCCAGATTGACATCACTGAAAATAAAAAATTACATGAAAATAATTAATCGAAAAATCGTGGGAGACAAAAATTGTTTCGAAACTTTTTTTTTTATTTCGGCAAAAACTTTATCGGAGAGAATTAACAAACAATTTAAATAATATCATGAATATCATACGTGTAACATAAGAGAAAAAGCAATAACGCAAATACTAATTAAATTTTTTTTTATTAGTTTTTTTCTTAATCGAAAACGTAAATAATAATTATTATTATAATTAATTATTATCGTATTTAATTTCAATAAATTAAAATTTGTGTCGTGTTATTATTATTATTATTATTATTATTGTCAGGATGAAAAAATTAAAAAAATTGTTTTGTTTGTTTGTTGTTTGTTTGTTTCGAAACTCCGAAGGGGGAAAAAAAAAATATTTCGCCGCGTGTTTTATTTACTAGGTCAAATAAAATAATTCACGGTTTTACTTTTAATTTTCGCTTGTTTCACTTTTTTTTTTTTTTTTTTTTTTTTTTTTTTTTTTTTACCTTTAAGCAATTTACTTATTCGTAGAAGCGGGGGGAGGAGGAAGGGGAAGAGAAAAGGAGGAAAAAAACAAACAAACAAAGTAAGTAAACGTAATGATTCGTCTCTGCCTTGAAACTTTACTCGAGAATAATTTTTTTTAAAAATAATATTAATAATTTTTTTTTTTTTTAATATACATTAATCATGTCGCAATTTTTATTTTGGAATAGTATACCGGTAGTAGTACCTAGAGCCACACCCTGTTTTCTTTTTTTATTTTTGCACCTACGGTTAAAAAAAAAATATCGAGAAGAATCGGGGAAAGATGAAAGAAAGGTTTGTTTGCACAATCGCCAATCGTAAAAAAAATAAAATTTTTAATTACAACCATCGGTTTTAAGAAACAAAAACAAAAAAAAGGGGGTAAAATACGATTACGAGGTATATTCAGGTCGACTATTAACAAAGTGTAGTAATTTAAATTTAATAAATGGCTTTACTACATTTGATCATATCGAAATATTCATACAAGGAATGAAGTAATTAAATCATTAAAACTCGAATTTAAAAAAAAACCACAGTCTATCAGATTTCATAAAATAAGGTGAAGGAGAGAAAGAAAAAAAAAAAAACTCTTTAAAATTTCCCAATAAACCGCCGATTTCGAAAAAAATTCAAAACACACAACAAAACAAAAACCACCAAAGGCTAAAAAAAAAAAAATAATAATAATAATTAATTTCGTTCAATCAACATTTAGATTTTATCAAAATTTTTATTCTTTTCTTATAAAAACAAACGGGAGATTATTACTTGGGATTTGTTTTTGTTTTCTAGCTCTTTCATCAAACGATTTGCGAGGAAAATTTTTTTTTTTTTTAAATTTTCAAAAAACCGTCATTAATAATAATAAATAAAATTTTTTTGTCCTGCAGACAACCTTGATTTAAATAAAAAAAATCAAAGCTCTCGTGCAAAAGCTTTCTCACGTACGTGATTATTACTACTGATTGAAAACTTTGAATTTTCCTCTTCGAAAAGAAAAACAAATTAAAATTACGTAAGAAAATAATTAATTTTTCTCTCTCTTTTCCCTCAATTTTTTTTTTCAGTTATTCTCACTTTACTACCCCCCTCAAAATGTCCGGAAAAAATTCTCCTACACAAAATTCGATAGTGAAAAAAAAAAAAAAAACAAAAAAAAAACAAAAAAACAAAAGTCGAGACATTTCGAGTTTGGCAAAACTACCTTCAACGTATCGGCATTGAGACTCAGTGACGTCATTACAATTCAATAAAAAAAAATCTGCGGTTCTTGTTGGCACACGTTACGAATTTCTTTGACGTTCCTCCTGTTTTCTTTTTTTATTAGATTTCCCGCCATTCTTTTTCGCAAATAAAAATATATATATTTAAAAAGTTTGTTTATTTATTTATTTATTTATCTTTCGAAATTTTTTTTTCTTTTTAATAATAATTATATCGAATAATATAAATAAATAAAAATAGACGTAAATTTTTTTTATTTTACGAAACAGCTGAAGAAGAAAATGTATGAAAAAGAGAAGGGAGGGAAAATCGAATATATTTTTAATTAGATGATTCACTAGAATTACTAATAAAAATAAATAAATAAATGAAATATTTTATTAATTAAAAAAGAAGATTGAAACGAAATTTATTTTGAGAGCGCAAAAAATCTCCCTTCCCCCCCCCGAAAAAAAAAAAAAAAATTACAAACAACGAAAAAAGGAAGCGCAAAAACAAACAACAGGTGAAACGGTAAATTCATCATATTTAAAAATATCAAATCGATAACTCATCAATTAATTAATAAATAAATAATTAATTAATTAATTACTTTCCATTTAAATCAATTTTTTAAATATTTTTATATCGAATAAAATTTATTTATTTATTTATAATTATTATTATTAACCGATTTTATTCGCCTGAAATATATGTTAAAGTTTTATTTGCTTTAACAGCATACCAATAGTGTTTGACAGTTTTTTTTTTTTTTTTGTTGGGGAGCCTAGCCAATTTAACGGTTTTTTTTTTAGCTGAATCGACGCGTTTTAAAATCGATTTAATTTTTTTATTGATTAATTAATTGATTATGTTTGCAAAATAATTTTATACAACCTGAAAATAATTAATTTTAAAAAAAAATTATTCGATATTTTTCATCGAGACGAGTTCAAATCCACAAAATTTTTTTTTTCTAAGCCTCCTAAATAATAATAAAAAAAAAAAATGAACGAATCGCGTACGCAAGTTAAACACGCGTAATTAACGTTTTGGCGTTCACCGTCCATTTTCTAAAAATCAATCAATATTGAATCGATAAATGCGCATCATAGCTTTGTAAAAGAGCAAAAAAAAAGTTTCGGTTTCGGTTTCGGTTTTTTTTTTTCCTTTTTTTTTTTTCTTAATCATCAGGCACAAAAAACAAAAAGAAAAGAAAACAATGGGGGGAGGAGAGAGGGAGGGGGAGAAAGAATTAGAAAGTGAAAAATTTTATATATATTCGCTATTTGATAAATTCTTAAATGCTAACGTTTCTGACATTTTAATTTAACCTTTTCGATAGTAACAGTGTGTCACGTTTTTCGTTACCTTTTTTTCTTTTCTTTTCTTTTTATTTTCTATTCATTTTTTTTTACCCTCTCCTCCTCTTCCCCTCCTCCTTCCTTCCAAAGTCTTCACTCTTTTATAAAGAAAAAATTTTTTAATTTATAAAAAAAAGTTAGTCAAAAAAGCAAAAAAAAGGAGAAAATTTAATTGATAATTAAATTGTTTGTTTCTTAATTTTCTCCCATTGAATACTTAAACGGGGGGAGGGAGGGAGGGGGGCTATTAAATACTGTCTCTCGCGAAAAACATTTTTTTTTTTTCAAACGAAATTATTTTAATCAAATTAAGGTTTTGAAATTAACAATAAAACATTAAGAGAATCAATTTTTTTTAAAAAAATGGAATGCACACGCGTTTGACGACTAAATAATAATAATAATATTAATAATGATAATAATAATAATAATAATAATAATAATAATAATAATAATAATAAAGAAAATCAAAGTCAACAATTTTTAATTCACAATTTTTTTTGTTTTTCTTCGATTTGAAATAATATAATACGTTTATAATCGACGTGAACAAAAACAAAAACAAAAACAACCACAACCATAACAACAACAACAACAACAACTTCTTTAAATATGATACAAGTGAAACAAACAATTTAAGAAACAATGAATTTTCAATTTTATTTAAATAATAATAATGATAATAATAATATTGTAAAAAAAAAAGAAAACACAACAAACCCATTGTCAGGAATAGAAATGAAAAAAAAAATAAAAAATTGATTTTTTCTTTTTTTTCACTCTTTCGATTCGCGTTACGAACTTATATATATTATAAAAAATATTATATAAATATATATTATATATATTATATTTATGTATATAAAAACATACGCACTAACTCACCATTAATAAAAAACAATTCACATTGTGATATTTGCGTGTGTACGAAAGTTATTGAATCTCCTCCTTCACATTTCAACAGGAAAATAAATAAATGAATGAATGAATAAAAAAAAAACCGACAGGAAACGACATTATTTATTTAAATGTTTATGCGGGATGAAAAAGAAAAGAAAAAAAACTTTCGAATCAAACTTTCGATTCACTATTATTGATAATAATAATATATATATACTCAAAAACAATAATAAATAAATTTCGTTTTTGAGATGGAAAAAAAAAAAAAAAAAAACAAATTTTTCGGCGAGACACGAGGAGGCGTTTCGAATAAAATTCTTTGACTACGGTCAAACGAAATTGAAAACGAAACATGCGCGAAAGAAAATGTCGAGAATGCGCCATAAAATTAAGACGATGGAAGAAAAAGACGAAAGAGGAGACAGCGAAAACGAGGAGAATGAAGGAGGCAAAAGCTAAGCAAAGCAAAAGAAAATAAAAAGATAAAAAAAAAAAAAGAAAAATTTTTAGTGTTGCGCAGATGCACAACATTTCGCATTCTGCAAAATTTCACCATTATTTTCTTACGAACTCAACATTATTCGTATGACGATCTCCTCCGCTTTCCACGTAACACTTTTCCAAAATTAAACAAAAAAAAAAAATTAAAATTAAAATTCTACTTTGGAAAAAAACGTCAACAATTTTCGTGTTCCTAATAACAATAATAATAATAATAATAATAATAATATTAATGACGATTATGATGGTAATAATAATAATAATAATTTTTTACAAAGTTATAAAACGTGATCGGAAATTAAAAAGACGAAGGGGATCCTGTCTTTCCCGTACCTGAAAATTCTCGCAAAATTCAAATTACGTACTTAAACCTTTCTTTTTTTCTCCCCCCCTTCCTGTTGTGTGTTCTTTTACTTTTAACAATTTATTTAACAATTATTAGAAACAAATAAATAAATAAATAAATCTCTCAGGTCAGTGACGCACGTTTAAATAAATACTAATAATAATAATAATAATAAAAGAAAAACAACAACGTTTACAAGCATTTGGATGCGAACCAGAAATGTATATTTAATTCATTTTTTTTTTTAGTTTCATTCAATCATTTTATTATTTTAACCGAGTAAACAAAAAGTAATAATAATAATGATAATAATAAAGGGAAAAATATCAAGTACAAAGAGAGTGACAACAGCAACTGAAACCTTGACGATGACAAAGACGAAATTTAAAAAAAAAAAATTGAAAAGGGGAAAAATAATTTTTTAATATAGGTAAAATGAAAATAAAAATGAAAATTTTTTTTTTATCACTTTCGAAAAATCTCGAAACCACAAAATTACGTTTGTGAATAAAAACAAAGAAAAAGAAGAAGAAAATTTAATTGATAAGGACAAAAGTGAGAAGGAGGGGGATGGAAAAAAGAAAATGAAAAACAATAAATGAAAAAAAAAAAAAAAAAGATAAAAGGTAATAATAGAAAATGAAAGGAAATGAGAAAAAATAAATTTTCAAAAACTCAAATTTAGAAAAGGGGGAGGGGGAAAAGCTTTGCTTCCCTCCCCTTCCCCTTTTTCATACTCATTTTTCAACTTGAGCTTATTTAATACAAGCAAAGAGATCCGCGCGCACACACTCACTCACGCAAATTTTCAACAATAATAAATCCGGACTTTTCTTTTCGATTTAGAAAATTTATTTCGAAACAAACAAACAAAAAAAAAAAAACTTAGGAAAATTCTATCGAGAAAAAAAAAAAACAAGTGGGAGTAAAAAAAAATATCCCTTAAGAAAAAAAAAAGAAAAACATTTCTAATAAAATTTACTAAAGCTTTTCTTTTTCGTAGTACTAAAATGAAAGAGAAAGAAAGAAGAAGAGGTAGCAGAAAAAAAAAGAGGGGGGAAAAAACAATAATAATAATAATAATTTGAAATGATTTTCTGCTGAGCTAAAAAAAACTACTACTACAAGACTATTTTTTTCTTCTTCTTCTTTTTTTCTTCCCTTTTATTTTGTGTGTCATTTCCTAAATCCTGTTTTAAAGTTTATCGACATTTTTTCTCTTTTTTTTGGGGGGGATTTTCTTCAAGATTTTTCTCTTGCAATAAAAAAACATCAGATGCAAATTTTTTATGAACTGCATACGAAACAAAACGAATCCTCCTCGCACGAGGAAGAGAAAGATGAAGAGGGGGCGGAGGCAGGAGGAAAAAGCACTTCAATGCGGTAAAAAAAAAAAAAAAAACGAAAGGGTAAAGACGAGAATTTTTTTTTGGGGGGGGAGGCAAAAAAGAAAAAGAAAAAATTTCGAGAAATATTTTCCAACAGCAAAATTTCAACGTATACAACACACACACACACACACATGTTGACGTCGTGAATGTCAAATTCAAGTTTTTACCAGTCGTCGTACTCCTCCCACTCCCACTCTCTCTCTCTCTCTCTCTCTCTTTTCTGAATTTACTTTTCCTTTTATTAAATTTTACGGCGGTTTCTTTAAAATTATATTTTTTTTTCTCTCTCTCTCTCTTCAAAATTACACACAAGAGAGATAAAACGGGGGAGGGGAAGGTATAGGGGAAAGGGAAGGAAAAAAAACAATTTTAATGTTTTACTTACTTCGTTTTTGATAAGTTTGGATCGCTGGTTTTTCGTTTTTCTCGCATTTTCTGAAAAAACAAAACAAAAAATTAATTAATTAATTAATTAAAAATTTCCTCGTCGATTTTTAATTTAAAATAATAATAATATTAATCTTTAAATATAAATAAAATTTTTCTTTAAATTATCTTCTCTTAACGTCATCGTCGCCATTTTTTAATTTGAATAATAATTTATCGGAAAATTTACAGAAAGACCAAAAAAAAATTAAAAAAACGACATTTTTTCATCCACATCCAGATTCCGCGTGATTTCGTCACTCAATTATCATCACCACCGTATAGAATTCGATAATAATAATAATAATAAAAGAAATTTTTTTTTTTAATATCTTAAATGACCTCGATGATTTCTAGTTGTTAAATTTTATATAAAAAATTTGTGTTATAAATATTCGAGCGGTACTCATTTTTTTTCTCTTTTTTTATTTATAAACTCCTTCTGGGTCAATTAGTTTGTCCAAAAATCCACAAACACAAACACACACACCCAAATACTGATGCCAAAAAGGTAGACCAAACAAATGCTAATAATAATAATGATTTTAAAAAATTAATGGGGTATCCTAGTACTGACACGTTAAATATTATGAAACCCGTTAAGATAATTATATATGACAAAGACTATTATTGACTCCATTGTTGGCCAATCAATTTCCCCCTCCCCCTCCTCCCTCAAAAATTTTATTCAACTCGACGAAATCATTTCTAAATTAATAAAAATATATATTTATATAATAATCAATTAAAAAATAAAAAAAATAGAGCCTGATCGCACGATAAAACAACAACAACAACCAAACATTTTTTTCTTTCTTTTTTTTTTTCTTTTCTTATTTACACCGAACGTTGTTTAGTTTTTCTTTATTTTTTTTCTCTCCAACAAATAACAACCATTAAGTAAATCCATTATTATTATTATTATTATTACTTTTTCTTTTAGTTCGTAAAAGATTTAACGGATCGATGCGTCGAAAGAACACAAAATGAATTTTTTTTTTAAACGTATTCTTTTTATAATCTCAAACGTAATTTCAAATTTTCTTTTTTTTTTTTCTGTTTTCTCTCCCCATCGTAGCCTTGCATCAAATTGTTTTAATTATATTCCAAAATGAAAATTTTGTGTTTCACAAAAAAAACTAAAATATAGTATCCATTTAGAAAAAATTTAAAAAATCTCAATCACCTCGTAAACCGGCAAACCCTGAGAAGAAGCCTGCCTCCGGTGCAGTGTGTGTGGCGTTGCCACTTTTTTTTTTTTTGGGGTCCACAACTGACCTACATTAATTTTTTTTTTTTTTTTTTTTTCGAAATTTAACACAGTTGTCGTTTGAGCGTGCATAAATAATTAATTTTTTTATTGCACGAGAAAACCATTACGTCGGGTTTTTTGATGTTTGTTTTATTTTTAACAAAAATTATAATTCAACGTATATACACAACGCATTAAAATTTTTTATACATCAGAAAACTAATTAAACGTGAATCTCTCTCTCTCTCTTTCTCTCTCTCGGACTTAAATTTTCTTTTCGAAAACAACAACATAACAATACGAAAAGGAAAAAAATAATTTTTTGTTCGCACGTAATGTTTTTTTTTTTTTTTTTTTTTTTTTTTTACCTCGCTAGTAGTTCTCTTCAATATCCAAGAACCACGTCTTTTCCGATCAGTTCCACCGAGTCCTTGACAACTTTTTGTTCTGTTTAATTTACTCGTGACAATATTTTCTAAACTTTCCGAACTCGAGAGCATTCTCGAAAATAATTCCAAATCCATTTTCATGATTTTAATAAAATTATCCTTTTCACATGATATACTTTTTTTTCTATGTTCAAACCCCACTTTTTTTTTAACTTTTCATTTTTTTTTTTAGTTTACGACCAAAATTAATAAATAATATAATAACGAATTTAAATGGATGCCAATTGAAAACTGAATTTTTTTTTCTTCTTCTTCTTTTTTTTTTTTTTACCTTATCGGTCACGTGAAAAATTTTATCAGTGTGTTTGTTATCGATATTTTATTTTATTTTAAATATTAAAAAAAATAAAAAATTATTATTATTATCACTACATTTTTTTCTAGATTGATACGTGCGAATTTTTTTTTTTTTTTTTTATCTGAAATATTTACATTAAAATTTTCACATTATAAATCATAACTTTAGAAAAAGTTTTAATAAGTTTTAAAATTTTTTCTCTGTTCCGTTTGAAGATCGAAAGTAGTAGATTTTAAATTTAAAAAAAATTATCATTAAAAACGAGCCATAAATTAAATTTATCGAACGAGATTAGTGATTTTCATCATTTATGGCAAATAAAAAAAAAAAAAAAAAAAAAAAAAACTTTTTGCCGGTATCGTCGTCGTCGTCGTCGTCGTCGACGCATAAGATAGCCAAAATTATTTCGTTCCTTACATGAGAGAATAAAGATTTAAAACAAGAAAACAAAACAAGAAGGTTGTGCTTCGGCATAGAGTTTGATAATTATTATTATTACAATCAAACACCACTTTTTTTTTTTTTATTTCCTTTTTGACCGTAATTACTTTGTTCTAACAAAGAAATCGCATTTAATTACTTCACAATGATTTCTTTTTTTTTCTTTTTCTCATTTTCCTTAGAAATACTTTTGACGTTTATATTCATTATAAAGTGTGTTTCGCTAATGAGGTAACAATAATCGCCGCCATAAGGTTTTATTCATACGAGATTTTTACGCAATTTTTTCCTTTCCTTTCTTAAACGCACAATTTTTAATTCGATTTAAAAATCACGCTAATAATAAATTTTTGTTTTTTTTTTTTTTTTTTTTTGTCACGGTGTAAAATTTTAAGTCAAAAAACAAATAAAAGAAAATTATCACCTGAAGCGATTTTCTTTTCGCAAAGAAAACAAAAAATTTATGAAAAAAAAGAAAATCCGAATGCGGCAATGCGGTAAAAAAAAAAAATAAAATAAAATAAAATTTGTAATACGAGCACCGAGCAAGAAAGCTGCTGTAAAACATAAAAAGGAACAAAAGAAAATAAAAAATTTACGTAGTACACGTCGTCTCTGTTAAACAAAATAATAATAATAAAAAAAAGATTCAAATGTAATAAACATTCATTCAAATTCCGTCAAGTAATAACTGTGGTAATAATAATAATAAATAAATAAATAAATAATTTTAAAAATTAAACACGGTAAATTTTAACAACTACAATTACAAAAATAATAAATGATTCTGAGTTTACTTTTGCTTCTTCTCTCTCACTTTCTTTCTCTCTCTTTTTAATTAAGTTTAAGGTTTATTTACATGGAACTTAATTGGCATTAAGCAAATGAAAAGTTTCGAAAAAAATGGTAAAAACTTGATCACGTTTTCGGGCAGTTTGTCAAAAAAAAAAAAAAAAAAAAAATATTTTCATCGTCGTCACCGCGAGTCATCAAAATTCTAAATGAAAACAATTTTTTTCTTCTTTTTCTTCTTTTTTCTTTTTTTACTTTCGTAATAATAATAATAATAATAATAATAATAATAATAATAATAATAATCAATTTAAGTTTTTCCAATTTTTCAATTTACGGGTCTCCGAATTTACGGATAAATTGATTTAACGTCAATAAAAAAAAGAGGAAAGAAAATTTTTTCCTCATTTTTCCATTCGACCGTATGTTTTATATTAATATTATTTTGACAAAAGCGAATGAAAAAACAAAAGAAGAAGAAAAGAAAAGAAAATCAAATTTGTGGTTTTTTTAAAAAATCTTATCGGGAGATAAAAAGAGGAAGGGAGGGGGCGGGAAAAGAAGAAAACGGTATGTCAGCTACAGTCTTTTTTAAATAATACCTTGACCTTTTAACAAACAAAAAGAAGAAAAACGAAAAGAAAAAAAAATTGTTACAAAATCAATATTACATACATACAAGGGAAAATTTTCCTTTTTTCCTTTTTCTTTTTTCTTTTGGCATACCAAATTTTGAAATTTAAAATGACATTCTATACGTTTGTGAAAAAAAAAAAAAAAAAACAAAACAAAAGGGGGAAAAAAAATAAAATTCTTTGTGGAATTATTATTAACGGATTTGAACAATACTTTAATAATTCGATTGTCGGTATTAATAATAACGTCAATTTCGAAACCAATTATATAAAAAAAAAATAATAATAATAATAATAAAACAATGGTGATTTTCCCATAAAAACAAAGACAAAGACACTTTTCTTTTTTATTAATTGTTAAAATTATGAAAATCACGTATAAACAACACAAAACAGATAATATCACATTATAAACACTTTCTCTCTCTCTCTTTACTCTCTCTTTTTTTTTTTTTTTTACAATAAAACATCGTGACGAAGTAAACGAAAATTATTCTCACATAAATACCCTCTTCCTTAAATTCGTTAAGTATTTTAAATTATCGAGAGAAAGAGAGAGAAAGAGAGAGAGAGAAAAATTTGCTAAGAAGAATTCACAGGCGATTAACGATTATAATAAGAAGAAAAATAATAATAATAAACCTTCCGTCCACTTATTTATAAAAAATAAAATAATGAAATTTTACGTAAATAATCGAAAATAAAACAACCAGGAAATACAAACGCAAACAAACGGTTAAACAATCGTAAATTATGATTGCTTTTGCATCATCACACAATAGCCAGTAGCTTTTACTCGAAAAATTTTCGCATTTCTCCAGACAAAAAAAAAAAAAATTAAAAAGATTTCTTGTTTAAATTCCTTCCTACCTATTTTCTCCGCCATTAAATTATATTTAAGTACCTACGTCAATAATTGACTCATCGAAACGTTTATTAATTAATAATAAATAAATAAATAAATAATTAATTAATTACCTTTTGTGGGATTCTTTCCCGATAGCTTTCGGATCTATTAATATTCGTCGTTGAATTTTTAACTTTCGCAGCATGATGGCCACTGGAAAAAATAAAAACAAAAAAAATAATAATAAAATATAAATACGTAAAAATAAAATAATAATAATAATAAAAATTGGATTAGTTAGTTTTTTAAAATTTTCGAAACGTTTATGTAATGACAAAATAATAATAATAATAATAGATACGTTAATAAAAGTAAAACAAACAATACTAAATAATGAATAAATTATCAAAAACAATAATTAAAACCAATTTACGAACGAAATTCATTAATTAACTTTTCTGACGTTGTTGTTGTTATTATTATTATTGTGGGGAAAAGAGGAGGAGAAGGAGGAGAAAGGGGAGAATAAAATTCTAATAAAACAAAAAAAATTGTTTTTTTTTTTTTTGGGGTCGTTTTCAAAAACAAAAAGTGTCATTTTACGCAAGGGAAAATATTTGAATTTTAACATGGAGTCAATGCCCTTGTCTATCATCTCTTCCCTTTATAATTTACTGTATTATGGGGAGGGGAAGGGAGGACAAAAACGATCAATTAAATTTTTTTTTTTTTTTTTTTTACTTTTCAGTCAAAATTTTAAACTCGATATTAATTAATAATTAATTTTTCCCATTAACTTTTTTTTTTATGTTTATGAATTTATATACATACATACATTTATCATCACATCAATTTTCTAGATTTTTCGGGTTGCAAAAAAGAAGAAAAACATCGAAAATTTTATTAGAAAATTTGCCCCTCCCCCCATTTTTTTTTATTAATTTTCAATTACTTTTTTCGAAACTTTTTGTTTTTTACTTAAATGTTTCGAAACAATAAAATTTCATTAAAAAAAAAACTCGAGTAGTAAAAAGATGGCAAACAAATAATCCATCTTTATTAAAAAATATTTTTTAATTTAAGATGAGTTCAAGTAAAATATCAAAACAATTCCGATGTAAAAAGCAATGGAAAAAAACGAAAAAGAAGGAGAAAGGACGTGGGAGAAGGTAAGAGAGGGAGGAGAGGAAAAAAGAAAGAAAGAAACCCAAAAATAAAAATTAAAAAAGAAAAAATTGATTGCAATTCCGACCTTTTAACGGCGACACTTTTTATTTTCCAAATTCTGCACAACAAATGATAACCTTTTTTTTTAATTCGGCAAAATTTTATAGCGAGCATAACTATAATCGGGAAAAACAAAAATTCTATCTTTCTTTTTTTCCGTACTAAATTTTATTACTCGTTTCCGGTTTCGATTCCGACTTTTTTTTTAAACCGAATTTTAAAAAAATTGAAACGAGAACTATTGTCACCGTTGGTGAATAATACTCGACAACGATTTAATTATACTCGACGTGTTTTTTTTTTTCTTTTTTAAAAAAAATTTGAACACGACGCGAAAACTTTTGCACAGACTTAGACGAAACACAACATTTACACACAAACGAAACGGAAAAGAAAAAAAAAAAAAAAAGAAAAAAAAAAGGCTGAAAACGCAAGATTTTTGCGATTTCAAAGCAATTATTTCACATGCGACTGTTAAATAGACCAACTTTATTTATCGGCCATTTAAAAAAAAAAAAAAAAAAAAGTTAGTGAATTTGCCTGTTTATTATTGTATTTCTTTTTTTTTTTTTTTTGTCGCTTATCGATAAACCATAATTTAATTGATCTACTTTTCGGCAGAAACCGGCAAAAAAAAAAAAAACTGTTATAATAGCTGACTTAAATAAATGCGTAATCATAATAAATAAAACGCGTCTAAAATGCAAGACAACAATAAAATATTTTCATTTTTTTCCGGGTAACAGGGAAATTTTTACCAAAAAAATCAACCGGTTGCGGCGACTTTGACTTTCCGATGTCAATAAATTCAAAAAAACCGGGAGGAAAAATACTA